GCGTTAACGCAGTTTTTTGATTATTATGAAAGTCCGTTGCTCACTGGCTCTGAATACACATACAGACAAACCATATGGGTCACAGGAGGGGTGGGATGTTGATCAGTACTGGCTTGGGATGGGCGTCTCAACCAATGAGAGCATTTGGGGTGGACCTAAGACATGAAGCTTCACATGAAGCGCTCACGACTTTATAATCATAAGTGGGAAATAGGAAGTTTCCGATAGCATGTGAAGACAGCAGAGAAGCGCTCTCGCTCACCAGAGTGGAGTGCATCATTTTGTTAACTTTGTGGTTTATTATTTTGAGTCGTTTGGGATGCGGTAACACACGGCCCTGTCACAATATATTGCTTTACAGATCTATCACTCTTGCCGCTCAGAAATGTTCACACAATCATGCTGCATGTATCAGAAGTTCGGTTAAGCGCTCACACTCACTGATCTATATATAACTGAACCGCCCACCTCTTCCTACCAAGCCAGGGACGGCTAAACGAACCGCGCTTGAGCGCAGCACGGAGCGATCACACTAGTCAAACGAACCGGGCTTTGGGGGTCAGACGCGCTCGGGCACGGTTAAGATTGTCTAGTGTGAGCACACCCTTATTCTCCCGCATCCCGCACACACGAGTCTCTACACTGTAAAATCCAATAGTTTACCTTACTTAGATTTAATTAGTAATCTTTACTTAGTTGTTGTACTTACTAGGTTTTATTAAGTTACAGCTACTTTCAAGGCAAATAAAACAATTTACTTACTGTTTTGAGTGGTGCTTACTTAAAATATTCAAGTAGCCACAAAGGAACCAATGACATTAATAAAGCAGTGAGAGGCAGCAGTGCACTAATATGTTGCTAATGTGCAACATAACACCCGCACCCGCACCCCCATCAGTGTTGTCCTGCGCTGCACTCTGCTGTGTTGGGTCCCGCGGGAGTCCAGGTCTCTACACGGAAGGTGCCTGTTATGATCGAGGCTACCCCCATCAGTGTTGTCCTGCGCTGCACTCTGCTGTGTTGGGTCCCGCAGGAGTCCAGGTCTCTACACGGAAGGTGCCTGTTATGATCGAGGCTCTGGACTCTGAGCATAGCTTGTTTTTCTATAACAAACTATAAAATATTTTCTATAAAAACGTTAATGCCCTGGTAATTTGATTAAATTAATGTTATAAGTTGAGATTTTCAAGAAATATTTTAACTGCTACTATGTAAATGAACACTGCTGTAAAAAAGCACCTTATTTGTTTAAAGTGTTTGCAAACCAAATGTTATTGCACTTTTGTTCATATAGCAGTACTTTTAAATGAAAAAAGTGCACAATACACTACTTTTGAATTCATTATTGAATTTTGTGCATAACAATGTGATTAATCGCAGAAAATCATTAGATTAATCGCGATTAAAACTTTTAATCATTGCCCAGCACTAATTAAATGTTTATTAGACATTCAAAGATTTGTTTAAATTATATAAATGCGTATTTCCTAAATGCTGACGGTAAACGAGGAAGCATTATAATGCTTCCCTGTCTGTTACTATTGATTTAAAAGCAATCGTTTTAATACTTTTTTGTATACTTCTACTTTAATACTTCTTTTAATTCCTTTGTTTAACAGTTCTATCTGATTATTAGACGGACTTCTATCCATATTAGACAGAACTGTTAAATGGCAACAGCAAACAATCAAGAGGGAGAATGTGAGCTCTGTGTGTCAAAATAAAAGTCCCGCCTCGAACACATCGGCCAAACAGAAAAACATATAGGCCGATGCCGATATTTGAAAAATGCCAAATATCGTTCTTGGCAATATATCGGTCGACCACTAGTCTGAGTTTGGAGAACGTTACTTGTCTGACTGCATTGTGCCAACTGTAAAGTTTGCTGGAGGAGGGATAATGCTATGGGGCTGTTTTCAGGGGTTAGGCTAGGCTCCTTACTTCCAGTGAAGGGAAATCCGAGACGTTTTGGACAATGCTGTGTTTAAAACTTTGTGGGAACAGTTTGAGGAAGGGCATTTTTTATTCCAGCATGACTGTGACCCAGTGCACAAAGCAAGGACCATAAAGACATGGCTGGAGGAGTTTGGTGTGGAAGAACACAGAGCCCTGACCTCAACCCCATCCAACACCTTTGGGATGAACTGAAAAGGAGATTGTGAGCCAGGCTTCTCAACATCAGTGCCTGACCTCAGAAATGCTCTACTGGATGAATGGGCAAAAATTCCCACAGAAGCACTCCAAAATCTTGTGGAAAGCCTTCCCAGAAGAGTGAAGCTGTTAGCTGTTAACGGGGACCAACTCCATATTAATGTCTATGTATTTAGAATGAGATGTCATTAAAGTCAGACGTCCCAATACTTTTGTCCATATGGTGTATCACATGGTAAGGTGGGACAATTGAAGACACATGCGTCATTATTTGATGTAAAATGAGCATGAAGTTTTAAAAGGGGGAAATAACAGGGAAATTCTGGGTTGCCTTTCTAAAGCCTGCTTTTAACCCAGAGCAGTTTTTTTTGTAGTATTCAATATGTACAGTGTGAAAAAATAATACAGTTAAAATATTACATCTCAAAGCTACAGACACCCAATCACACGCCTCATTCACAGGCATGTCAATATGTGGCATAAACAATAGTTTCAATGCTTGAGGGGAAAACTGACAAATGGTGATGGAAAAAATGTGAACTGAAGTGAAGAAGAGAACATTTCATTTGTCCCTTTATAGTCCAAAAAGTTCATGCAGGAAGAACTTAATAGTATAGTATAGTACAATATATAATATGAGGATGTGCGAAGCTAGAGTCTGTAAGTAAACGGGTCGAATGCCGCGTTTGTCCAGTTACTGCAAATAAGATCATTAACCCAGCGTTTAGGAAGGTACAGTGTGAAGCGTCAGTTTATGAATAACACCATTAATTGTTAACCCGGGTATGAGCAACATTCAAACATGAAACAAAATTCCGTTTTGGATTCCATTTACCGGGGTTTAGAATGACCCATAGTTAACTAGATTAAGTGTGGATATTGTGCAGTGATTCCGGGTACAGCGGCGTTAGGGAGTCCACTGAGACCCATGCATGATGGGATTGATACAGACACTCGCTTTGATTTCTTGTTACCTAACTGAATGACATTCTGACATTTTGAATTGTGACTCAATTGTTTAGAGACATTTTAGGGCGGCGGTATGTTGAAGGAAAAGTCACTTTCCTTTTGTCATCTGTCCTTAGTGAAAAGATCGAGTTATTTGTGTAGTTCATGTTTTTATAACTGTAAGTGTTCACGCGTGTTGTGTTTGCAGGCTGGGAAGCCAAATCCCATGGTGAAACTGTTTGTAGTCAATCTGTACGGACCGACACACACTCTTGAACTCACACCACCAGATGAACTCAAGCTCAGGTATGGAGTTTGTGTGTTTGAGTCTGTGGTGGAGACTCAGGCGATGCTATGATGCTCTCTGTGTCTGTAGGGAGCACTATGTGGTGATGGTGAAGTGGATCAGTAAGACCAAGACAGCAGTGCGCTGGTTAAACCGAGCACAGAACGTCTCTATTCTGACCGTCTGCGACTCCACCACTGGAGCCTGCATCAAGGTACATGCATCACACACACACACACACACACACACAACCACACACTGAGCACAGAGCAGAGATGATAATGTGCTTTATTGCTGAATTTGTCTATGTCATTGTCATGATGATGATGATGGTGATGTTTCTTTTCAGAGGCATGAGGAAACATCAGAAGTTTGGCTCTCAAAACAGGTGAATCTCCACTAGATGTTTGCATCATGATCTTCAGTCACATGAGTTTAATGCATCTCTGGCTGGTTCTCTAGAATCAAGAGCCGTTCTTCTCACGAGACGGCAGCCGCTTCTTCCTGACGGTCCCGGTAAAGCAGGGAGGACGAGGAGACTTCCACCACGTCGCCATGTTCACCTCTCAGGTACAGATACGGCAGGACAGAGCGATGCGGATGCGCTTGAATCTGTGTATATGATCAAGAGCGTGTTGATATCCTCATGTGTTTATGTAGGCACGTGTGGATCAGAACGAGGTGCGACATCTTACATCAGGTAACTGGGAGGTGACGCAGATTCTGGCTTACGATGAGAACAGCCAGAGCATGTGAGTAAAACATCAACCTGAACCCCAATATGTCACGATATACACACCAGGCCTCTCTACAGCATAACACGCATTTCCATCAAATAATGAAGTGATCAGCAAATGTGATCTAACTGTATTACATGTGATCACAGTGTTTTGAAACCACTATAAATCTTAGTCTGTTCTAATGCAGATATTTCCTGAGCACTGAGGGCTCCTCGACCCGCCGGCAGCTCTTCAGGTGAGATTCATGTCTGTTTGTGTCCGTTCCTCCAGAAACGTTCATCAAATGCGCTCCTCAGAGTAAAACTTATTCATGAAATACATCAACACTGTGTCCTGAATTACAGTTTTTCTTGATTGCTAATACACAATTCATGAAACAATTCACCATTTTCTCACAACTATAAACACAATCTCAAAACTACAGACCAACTTGTGCAAACTTCAAACTTCCAGGTCAAAATCAAATAGTTTAGTCAAAAACATGTTCTCTTTTGTCAGACTCAAACTTTGGCCTCAGATGATACACAAACCTGTCAAATACACAGACTACTTCACTGCCTAGAGAACACTAGTGAGATCAATTCAAAACACTGTTACAAAAACCTCCTTTTGGGAAACAGGAATCCTTTTGCTAGTCAATGACTGTTACAGTATACAACATAAATAGAGGTGTGCAGATACAGTAAAATTCAGCAATAAACTTTAAGAAAAGTTAACTTTCATTACACTACTGTGAAGAGATCTTACAGTAGATGAAAAGCACTAGAAGAGAAAAGTTCAAACAACAGAATATACAGTAAACACACATTGGAATATACTGTCAGTTACTGTAATTAAATAAATAAATAAATAAATTCATTCATTCATTCATTCAGCATCCTCTGCCAAACTGCATCACAGTATTGGTATTATCCTTATTTGTTATAGCAGTTTCTTAGTCTTCTGACAAAAGACTTCTCTGCCTCCCATAGACAGCCGTCTCTCAGTTCTGCACAAATACAGTACATACTTGGCTACAAATAAATCCAACAGTAATGAGTTTGAGGGTGTACTGTACAACATGTGCTACAGAATTTACTGTACATAGAATGATGAAAGTTCTCTCATCTGAAGTACTGCTGCTATGTACTGTAATTATATTTTATGTGTATTGTGTAAGTAGTATTGAAATCTTGTAGATGAGCCTGTAGGCCAACTTTCCTCATGATCAGTCCATGCAGAAGAACATGCTCAACTATAGTGCTTTGTATTTCATCAGGAACTAATGACCTTTGACCCCATTCCCTTCATTTTAATTTAACCCTCCTCTTCCTCTTTGTCTCCCACTATCAGGATTAATTTTCCAAAACTCATAATCAGCTGTGCTCTTGTTCATATCATCCTGAGATTCTGACCTGTGTGTCATCAGTTTTGATGCTGAATGTTCAGACATGGATAAATGTGTGCTGTTTGTGTTCATTTTGTGATTCTTGAGGTAGTTATATTGTGTGTTTGTGTTTTCTAAATGAGAACATGGTTAAACCTGTGCAAAATGATG